ATCCCAGAGTAGTGATCACAGACAACATTCTTCACTCCCTCCTCTATACTAGCACTCTCCCTCTTGGCTATAGCAAGTTCCTCTTGGAACCCACTAGCTTGAGTCCCGGCCTCAGTAACCTCCTTCTTCAAGGAGGCAATCTCTGTTCTAGCTTCCTTGAATTGCCCTTCGACCATGGCTGCCTTGGTCCTATCGGACTCAGCCTGATGCTTGAGCAGTTCATAACGTCGGACTAGCTCATGTGAGAAGTAGGTACCCTACACAACCAATCACATTTCAACTGAAACTCGGGTGAAATTTAGTTTAAACTTTGGGGAAAAACCTACCTGAAGCGACAATTGAAGAATTAAGTCAATTAAACTCCCCAACGATATCCCTAGAAACCTTCTCCTTGTCCCTTGGAAGCAAGACAGTTTGACCCATCACTGCGTCTCCACAATCTAGAAAATCGAGTGGTCACCTGTAGGAAGCTTGAGAGGACTATCTTCTCATCAGTATTCAAGCAAGGTCCTTGAGCCCACTTAGCTATGGACTTCACTCTCCGAGTAGCGCCTCCTCAACAACATTAGAAGGCAATTTCTTTCCTTTTCCCTTGACAACTTTTGGCTCACCTACATTCAAATCTTCAATCCCTCGCATCACAGGAAAGTTACCTTCCATACCTATAATCAAAGAATGTCAAAGAAAGAGCAAGAAAATGCTAAGTCAAAGCAAAAACAAAACAAGGGAACACTAGTTTACCTAACAAAGGGTGAGCCTCCTCCCTCACTCCTACTGCAACCTCACTGGTGTGCTCACTAGTCTCCTCAGGCAGCTCAAACAGGTCCTCAGTATTAATATCAAGTCCAAGCCTCTTCCTCCTGAGCATCTCTCTGATAGAATTCCTTGCTCTATGGAAGAGTCCCGATTTGAAGTACGAAGTCGCATCCTTAGACGTGTTGTCAGGAGGGAGAGAAATAAAGGAAGTGTATCCTCAGACAAAGTCAAGTAATAGTGGGATGGATAACGTGACCACGCATGAGGGTCAACAAGGAGTCAACAAGAGCACTGTTGTTATGTTTCTTGATCCCTCAAATTTCAAGCACAAATGAGAAAACAAAGGAGAGGAGAGTTAGTACAAGTAAGTAGCAAGCGTTTAAACCTTCAAGCAAAGGTACAAGCAACCAACCTAGATCGCCAACAACACGTGGGCCACCGCCTTAGTCAGAACCACATGCCCAGTCGCCTCTCACTATAATGAACTCATCCTCGTAACCCTTAGCCAGAGAGGCTCAGTAATGAAGCAATAGATTTTTCCTATTTAAGAGGCAATACTTGTTATCTGAAATTGGAATGGCCTTCAGATAGTAGCAGTCTAGTACCTTCCAATGGGTAAGTCTAACATCATAAACTTCAAGTAATCTCATCATCCCACTAAGGATCCTAAAAGAGTTAGTGTTAAATTGGGATGCATGAAGGCCCGCTACATGTAGAAGCTCCCTCACTAGGCTAGCAATCGGGAACCTGATCCCCCACTACTATAGGCTAGCAATCGAGAACCTGATCCCCCACTACTATAGCCACTATGGGCCATTTATACCAACCATCATGAAAGTCACTATCATCCCCAGCGGCAGTTTTCACCTTGATGCTCTCGAATATGTCAAAGTCCTTTTTGAATTCTGCTAAGGATTGTTCGCTATCTACTAGGTCATGGTAAACCCCCATTGCACACAAGAGGACTACCTGAACCAAAGTGGAATTGGCTCAGTCTAAGGCACTAAAAGCATTTTTTAAAGAGCCAAATGGAACCCTCTAGGCTCCAAGCTACTGACCGGCACACAACCAAGCGCCAAGCCACCGACCGCCACACACCCCACTGCCAAACTGTCGATCAACCCTCTACCACCAGGCTGGATACAACTGTTGAAAGGCCTCTACAATATTATCCCTTTTCCTCCTCAAACAACCAAAATCCAAATAAATGCATCAAGATTACAGACCACTGCCGATCAGCATTCTTCAAAACACCCAAATGCCGGTTGATGAATACCCAATAACCAAACCCAAAACGGTTTAGCCTAGTTTCAAATCAAACCCAACAAAACCTAAATTTTTTCACAGAATCTCAAATCAAGTTGGGCACATGCAAGAACACGTGAAAAACATTCAAAAATTCAAGAGGAAACGAAGAACATTTGAATATTCCAACAAGGAAATCTTGAAATTTTTTCAAACTTACCTCATTGAGGTAACCCCAAGTGGCAGCGACTTCAATGAAGTCGGTGGCGGTAGCAAGTTCTTGAGGCTCCAAGCTTGTTCTCCTCTCTCCCAACTAGCCAATCTTCAAAGCAATATGAAGAATAAAGGAAAGGGGAAGGGAATTTAAATCCCTAAGCTACTTTGGCAATTGAAGCCCTAGCTTTCAAAGTAAAAGAAGGTCGTTAACAATAAGTTGGACTAGAAAGGTACTTGATCTTCAAAAACATACCTCAATTAATAAGGGTTGGTTAACTGAGGTATGGGGGCAATTGTGACGCACAAGGGAGCTTACACCAGTCGGCATGGGCTTAGGCATGTCTTTCCCAGTCGATCGGCACTTTGTGTGGGCAGGTCCCTACCGATCAACAATTGTCTGTGGGAGGTCCATGCTCGAGCTACACTTGTTACCCAAAGCCACTATGGGATAACCACCTTACTTCCAAGTAACCTACTACAAGCTCTCTCACTCACCCTTGTTGGAGGACTCCTATTCTGCTAGGACCGATCTAGGACCTAGAATCTTAGTCTAACTCTACCCCGAATATCTAGGAGTTAGTGATAAGGGACTTAGGAACAAGAGTCCTAGTCTAACTCGACCCCGAACTCTTAGGAGCTGGTGATGAGGTCGACCCTATCACAACCTAGAGTTTAGGTTCTTTTGGAATACAATTTCCTATTACTATAAATAAAAGTCATCGGGTACTAGATAAGGCATGTAATCTAAGTCTATTCACTGCATACTATCTTGGACTCGCTTTCTAACTCAAGTGTCAGAGTCCCTTTGGCCGCCACCTAGATGTTCTCTTGTCTTACAAGTTACTCAAAGCTTTCGTATAGTCATCTTCGTCCATACAAGGTGGTGACTCTTTATGCGAATTCTGCACAGCATGAATAATTATTGGAACCTTCCTTGAGGGAGGATTCACTATAGGGATATCAAATACCGAAATATTTACTCGTGTCGTAATCTAAAATTATTAAATTTCAAAAAAGAAAAATTAAAAGATAATATAGACCTTCCTCTAAAAGACTCGTTTTTATGAAAGTCATTATAGCTCGCTAAAACTTATCTCCTTAAAACTCCTCTAGTCAATTCATCTCTTTTTCTCCCTCTCAACTCATTCTCTCTCTGAAACTTCTCTCTTTCTGAACTCATACCTTCTTGAGACTGCTCTCTTTCCCTCACTCTATCTGATTTATTTCCCCTTTTCAGAAAATTTCTTCCACCGCGAAAGGAGGGCGTCAAAACGCCATATAGTGCAAGAGCATTCACATGTGTATTGGCTTACTTTTTCGCTTCAATTTCCGAAGCCCTCGGACTGTGCGTTATGTAGACCCTTTGCCTGCTTAGAAATGGGCTGAACCACTAATACCAAGATTTCCAATTCTTTGCTCTAATGAGTCAACCTACTTGCACCGCTTTCCCAAATGTTTGATTTTTTCATCGAACTTTTGTGGTAATTGTATTGATATTTTCCAATTACTTATTTGTTGTTGATTGAATAGTATAGTCCTTTTAAAATGGTCATTCCAAATTGAATTAAAATCAAAAGGAGAAAGTGAAATCAACTTCATAAAGTTGTCGAATAAGATCTCACTAAATTGGTTAAGTGAAACATATTTCTATGCCGCTCTAAGACCAACAACCAGACCATTAATTATCATAGGCCCAATAAGAGAGGCTTCTACCTACCTCGGCCTTTGTTTTGGATGGGTTACCAATTCTATGCAGCGTTATATTGTTTACAGCTTAAGAGATGCACCTCAGTAAAAGGAGGATCAATGACCCAAGAAAGGCAAGTTTTACTTTGAGGGAAGTTAACAATCATGAAAAAGAGCGACTGAATTATAATCAAATTGTTTTGGTTGATATAGCCCTTGTGTTATGTCTAGAAAGAGGAGACAATAGAGTTACAGAATTACTTACCAAAATAGAAAAGGGAATATATTATATTTATTTGAAAGAAAGGTAAGTGTGAGTGGGAACCGAAATGAATAGAGCACCACTGGGCTTTGGAGTCAAGAATGAAGAAAAAGCATGTGTATATATATATATATATATATATATATATATATTCATTTCAGCTACAAGATGCTTAGTCAACAGAGAAGCGTATGCACTAGGGGGACTATAATGATTCCTGAAAGATCATCTGATATGCGTTTCTAAGTATATGATATCGACATGTCCTTCACATTTCCTAGTACAGATCTCCAACAAAGAATCTGTCAATTTTTCCAGCATGATCCACAAGATTTTTGTTAAAACATTAAGCTCCATTTTGTCCGTCTAAATCTAAAGTTGGGTTAAGTGTCTAGTACCAAATTCACGATCAAAGTTGGGTTAAGTGTCTAGTACCAAATTCACGATCGACGATGCAACCAGATCTTGTGAAGACCAAAATAGGTCAAGATTACAACGCAATGATGTTCAAAATGAAGTTGAGATCCATGATAAAATGTTCAAATCAATCCCAAAACACACGATCGAAGAATCACAATTTGATCTATTTAAATCATAATTTTTGGAACAGTAACCTTCTGTACCATAACTTTTCCCCTGGAAGTTGTCATCTAAAAAATTCTCGAAGGGGAAAATCATAGGTCTTGGGGCCAAAGATAATAGGTATGCACTGAAATTGGACCTTTTTGGGGAACGAGGGACAATCAAAGGGTCGAACACCTTCCGCTGACCCTTTCTTATCAAACATGCTGAATTTCTACGAAATCGAATGGCATGAGCAGTGAGCAAAAGCATTCTCACGTTTGGCAAATGATACCATTAAATTCCATTACAGCATGCAGCCACAAAATGAACACTGACCAAACTAGTATTTTGGCTTCAACTAAACAGTAAACTTTATTGGTGGTAACATTGAAATAATGTATTTCAAACAGAGATCATAAAACTATGAGGCAGTTGTGAAGCGTGAATGTACAAAATCTGATACAACTCAAAAGGCAAAGCATACAGAAACCGGTACTTTAACACCATTGCAACTATCACCATTTCTCATCACATCCTCCTCTGGAGTTCAATGAAGGTTAAGATATCTTGCACAACCGCCAAATGCATAGCACCATCCCCCTAATCAACGGATATATTGATTTTGATCCCTGCTTGCGAGAGACCAATCCCAAACTATAGGACCATTACTTGGTTTCAGTTCCTCGCCTTTGTATTGGAGATCAATGCCTTTACACAAAGTCGTGGTTTTGTACTCACCAGATTGTGAGGAAGAACTGAGACAGCAACCACTAGTGACCCTTTGGAAATCCCAGAGAGCGGCAGCAGCTCAACAATAACACAAAGCTATAAACATATTATTATGGTCAGTAAAATACAACAACGAAGAAAATGGTTTCGTGACAATTAGTAGGTGGATGACATTGTACCTCTGGACATTTCAGATCCACAACTGAATCTGATACAGCATCTTTAACCGATGCAGCCACAACGCTGAAACATTTGTTGCGGTCTAACAAAGAGAATGCATCAGCGTCACTCGAAGTTATTTTGGCAATCTTCATCTCTGTCTCCTCGATTCTTCTTCTGTTATACCCGACTGCAAACTATAATGTCATTAGAATTCACTTGAATATGTCTAGCATAGTATCATCCACTATAGAAAGTCAGAAACCTTCTAAAGGAAATAGGAATGCCACAAAATGCTGTTTGTAATGTTATCTTAAAATTGATAAATTGAGGCATGTAGGAGAAAACATGAAAAGAAGGGGCAGCATTGGCCAGCAAAGTTCATTGAACATTCAGTACATATTTTAAGTTAGTTTCATTTACAAATTTACATGAGAAAAAAAAATCATATACCTACTTACTATATCCCTACAACTAAAAGAAAAGAGGCAGCAACATGACATGGAACAACTCATCACAATGATCTGAGATTGTAATGACCACAAACTCCAGAAACAAAGTGCTATGGAATATAGCAGCGTGAATATGCCAACTGAGTACATCTTTCTCTTCAAACTCCCTTAGTAGTCTCCCACATGTATGCTACACAGAAGAATGAAGTGTCTGCACTAGAAATAAATTGAGTCATACTTTTACAGGTTGCACAAGTTTATTCCGTTTATCATCAAGAAACTGAAGAACAAGCTTCGACACAACTTTGCGCAGTTCCTTCTCATTCAAAACACAAGTAGCTTGGATCGGGAAAATACGATGACACCAACTGCAAAACAGAAATGCTATTTGCCTGTAATTAATCTATTGAGCATGGCTAAAAGCAAACAAAAATCTATCAACACAACCAAAAACCAATGGCATGGACACAAAAAGTTCAATTATAATGAGTTATAAAACCTCAGATCCCCTATAAATAATCATAACTCTAGTGTGCGTGTGGGCGTCTGTGGGTATGTGGTTCTAATGTAGGACAGCGGTGAACCCAAAAAACCAGCACTGTCCAAGGCTGTGAGCAATACCTGTTAATAGTGTTTTTAGGGGATAATAGTGTCAACTTGTGTGCTGGGGTTAGATAAATTGAAGGGAAAAGGTGTAAGGGTTCGTAGATGATATATAAGGGTGTAGATATGAATATATCAGGTCTGATAAAGGTGTTCAGCACATAGATAATTACAGAAAAATAGAAGAAAGAAAAAGAAGAAGAAGAAGAAAACTACAAATCACTCCTAGAGTTCCTTAGTCATCACACCTAAGGTTGAATTGCATCATACAATCCTCAAAGCATATCATAGCTGAAAATTTTGAAAAATATCACTCCCCATTAAATTATGGCATTACATCTCTATTTATAATAGACCTATATGTACCTCCAAATCCTAAAAGATTAGGATTCCAAGTTATTGACTAGGAAACTAATATAAACTAGACATGACTCTAGACTCTAGAACCTTACGGCCCATACTATAGTTTGACCCAAAAGACAAACCACGGCCACGGGTTTTAGTATAACAAATTACCAGGACACATGAAACACTATTGCCACCTAAGTGACTCAAACTAAATCATAATATAGACTCAAAAATAAAAATAAAAGGTTTCAGATGGATCTTTGTCTTGATGGCAAGCCAAATTCATTGTTCTTCAAACATTTGAATTTGTGTTTGTTTGAGCATCTTGTGGATTGTATCAAGTCAGGTCCCATCTTTTTAGGACTCATTTTCTTATAAAACAAATAACAAATAGCTACATAGACCAAAAGGGTTATGGAATGATTTACATATCAAAGAAAGTGATAATATCTTTGAATTGCCCTAGCAGATGTCAAAACAAGCATATTCTGAGAAAGAGGGGTGACTATGACAACAAAGTGGAAAGGGAAAAATGTCTTTGCCTTACTTAGAATGGGATTTGATAGTGTTGTAGGCTACGATTATTATTTTAAATTTCTTAAATATAACGATCTAACTATCATTTTTTGTAATGGAGTAGCATCAGGATTAAAATATAGATTTTATTTCACGAACTGCTTTTGTGTGTGTGTGCGTGAGGTAGATAGATAAAAGAATAGATAGTAGATATGAATGGATCTAAGCTTTCTGTAATGGAAAAGAACAGGTCTTAACTATTGAATTGATTGCAGATTTGGAATTTTCTCTCCCCTCCCCCCCACCCACATCCAACTCTCTCTCTCTCTCTCTCTCTGCCCATTCTTCTTTCCCCTCTCTCTTTCTCCTCTTTTATTCCTGCCCCTTCATCCCCCTGTCAGGAAGTGAAGAGGATTGTAAACTGCATATTTGTTCTAAGGTGCAAGGCAAACCGAGATGGTAAAAAAGGTCTCTTGTGGCCTAGGCAATAGACGAGAGGTGAAGCGAGAATTTCATCAAAGCAGGAGAATATTGTACATAAAAAGCAAATATATTGACAGACCTTTCAAGCAAGGCATACCAATTAAAGTCCCAACCAAGTATCAAAAATTATGAAGTCCAAATAGTATATATTACAAATAGGACAAAAAGTCAGAATTAATTTCACAATAAAGTTTTAGTGCCAAGATACCAACGTAACAACCCCTTACTTATAATCTCATAACCAAAAAGTAAAATGGCTTTGGGAAAGTAAAATGTAACAACTAACATGGCTCGAAAGAGTATTATTGAAAAAAAAAAAAAAAATTAGTTATGATTATACCATTCATATATTATAGACAAAGCGAGGGGGAAAGCATTTATAGAAAGGCGGCCTGATCTTAAAACTGATATTAAAGTCTGCAACAGAAAAACCAACATGTGTCATTCACTCAAGCTCTCCCCCTCTCCGGAAAAACAAAAAGCAAGTGTCTAAAGGCCTTCAGCATAATCCCCGAGGCACGCCACATTGCACCTTGACGAAATCCCTTGCCTGAGACAAGTTCAGGTACGAGGAGTGTGCTGAAGTCGCCTTAAGCCTAGGCAAATGCTTAAGCACAATTTTTGCAACCCTGGTTCATTGAATTAATTTGAAAGCTGGTTCAGTCTTTCCTTAACTTGCACAAGAAATAGTCTTGAAAACAGTATTGGCCTATACAAAAGACCAAATGCCATAGGCCAACTTTGCATCAAGCATGACGCTGCCCAGAAAAAACTCTATTATATAGCTTACCACATAAAAGGTATTTCTTCTGGATCAATCTAATCAAACATATGAGGGATCTAAAAATCCCATGTTTAGGCTTCACCAATTAGTAACCAATTATGCACATAAAATTACAAGAGGAGTAGCACCAATCCACATGTCTAGGTGACAGCTCTATGCAGTGGTCTATCAGCTGGAATTTTCCAGATGGTATAACACTGCAGATTATCAACCAGATGGTTTACAACAAAACAGGAAAAAAAATAATAACAAATATTGAAGGTTGACTGGTAAGATTATTCGAAGTTTAGAATAGCAAAATATGTTAATATTAGGCAAGAGTAGAGTTTCATTGCTACGTATAACATCATCATTATACACAATTACACATGGCGTCTAGGGGTGTTGGGTTATTATGTTGTTCAAAGACACCAGACCACTTGAGCATCTTACAATGATGAACTTAAACTTTTGACATATTATTCATGGTGGGGAAATCAGTCTATGATGAACATTTGCCTCATATAATACAACCCAGCCAGAATGGTTTATGAGACAGTCAAACTGTTCAACCCATAAACTGATGCTATTTTCCAAATGAATGGTTCCACTACAAAAACACTGGCCCAAAGTCATCAATTTGAAATGGCTTGGATAGTATCTAGAAGCCAGTGCACAAAATCAAACATGGAAGCACAAGAAAAACCAGGAGTCTGACAAAGGTATCATATTTCTCAACACTAAATAATATTCTCATAATGCATACACACACAAACCGCACAAGAGAGAGAGAGAGAGAGAGAGAGACGATGTCAATCCAGTGTGTATGGTCGGGGAAAGAGGGAAGAGGAAGGAAGATGGGACAAGGGCAATGTGTTTGGATGGGGTCCATGGGTAAAGAGGGAAGAGGAAGGTAGATTGGGGGCAAGGCCGATCCACCTCAATTGGCTTTTATTCGACTTATCTTCACTTTTCAATACTTAGAGAAATAAGCATTGACCACTGCACCAAGTAATGGAAAAAGAGAACCTAGTTCATAGAAGTTCAAATAGCAAAGCTATTATTAAAATAAGATGTGAAGATTATATCAACTGCTAGAAGAGCTAAGGAAGTTTGTACTGTGGAGGCAAAAAACACAAAAAAAATCATGAAATTCCAATTGAAGTGGACAGTGGTTATTCAGCTAAATTTCCTATCTTGTATTTCTTTGTTTCTGACCCAAAAAGAAGTTCTCAGATTATAGGATTACAAATAGAGCATATTTTAATGTGAATTATGCCTATACTTCTTGGTTCTAACCAACATGGCTGGCCGGATATGCATTACATGTCCCCTTGTTTAATGGCATGATATCCTATCATTTTTATTTTGTCTCCAGAATCTTTTTCCCTATTGCCACTTGCTATCCAAAAACCATAAGTGCAATGAATGCCACTCATCCAAACAGATGAATCAACATTTAATTGCAAGGACAGGCTGGAAAGCATAAGTGAACATGAGCAACAGGAATAATCACCATAAATTATCTAACAAGAATCAGAGAAAATAATTTTGCATAACTGTATTTAATTTTCAAGAACAGGAATAGTACAGCAAAAGACAAGAAGAGATCCAGAAGTATTAAACATTTAGACAAGTCAAGGAAACTAGGCAACTTACAGTGGTGACTTCAAACTTCCAGATTCCAGAGATTGAGCAATGTTTGACACAATATCAACAACGTCAGCAGAATTGTCCCTAGGAAAGGTAAAGAGAAGCAAGCCACTCCCCGTCAGCTTAACTAGAGAAAGAACATCACCTCCTTCTGCATCTGTATCTAATTTTGAGGACGACAAACAAGAATCCTCAGAAAGTTTACCTGGCATTAGGAAGTTGAGGTCAGTTATTTACACATTAGAATCAGAAGCCTAATAAATCTGTAGTCGTCCACCCCACCAGGATTTGCAGAGTTATTGGCAAAAATTTTGGTTTCCTCATTGTTGACACCTTTCTCTATATTACTCGTGCATATTTTCCTTCTCTTAGGACAATCATAGGCATCAAAGCTTTCCAAACTTTCAGAGTCACAAGAAATAGAGGACCGAACATACTGCAAGAACTAACAAATGACCGTGAATATCAGCACAGAAAACTACTCAATGCACAATGTGACAACAGAATGTACATGTGATATTAATTAGAAGCCGTTTCACATAAAGGCAGCATTACAGAAAAACTTCCCATTCCAAATAAAGAAGTCTCAAACTTGAATGGATATATCCAAAGGAGACAACCCCGCAGTGTGGCAAACATTCCGCTGAGGCAAGGACAAACTTGTCAAGCAAGAAAAATATCCCAGAAAAATAAGAAAGATGTTCGGATTCTAAATGTCTGTTGCCTGAATTCCATTAGTCATGTTGCACAAAGTCATAGTTCAGCTGTCATTGAAAGTATAGGCATTGCTTGGACCCGTGGTTGGCAGAAGCTTTGGCTGGAATGGGAGTCCCAACTTATATTGAATGGTGTCACCTTGAAAAGACTCTGTTCCATGGAATTCAAAATCCAAATGGAGGCTGTCGTCAACAACTACTAGCTATGCAGATATAGGTTACTCATGAGTCATGTCTTTAAAGAAGGAAACTTTGGAATCTCATCTAATGATTCTCTCGGTGGTCCTTTTCTCCAAATATTTTGATTGCTATAAATAACAGGGATAGGTCAAGTCTTTCAAATTTTTGTTTCATATTGTGATCTATTCCATGCATGAATTGCTATGTTTTTAAGCTTTTCTTTGTCTTGCCAGTTGTCAGTGTATTAGAGCTTTTGGTAAGGCTTATTACATCACCCCTTTAGGTGTATCTTTCTCTTTTCTTCTTAATAAAACTCCTCGCACCATCCAAGGTTCACCAAAAAACAAAGTAAAATCAAGCTAAGTTTCCCTTTATGAAATTCTGTGTAACACCCCAAAATTTACACCGGAAGGCATTGAATATCTATACAACATCCAACCATGAGAGCATACTAAACTACTATTAAATAAATAAAATCATTCATAATCCAACATCTGATTAGATGAATCCCCAAAAAAAACATAAGTAAATTTTTAACATAAGTAAACCATCAAATATAAACTCTAGAGACTAAAATTCATTCTCAAACTTCCATTGTTAGATCCCCCTCAGCATCACAATCTACCGGCTCATCTAACTCTAAATTCTCCTCAACACTAAAATCTGAAAAATGTTATGGTAGGGTGAGCAAAAAAGCCCAGTAGGAAAACGTTCTCAAACTCAAACAAGGTTTAGAATCATGAAAACAGGTAAGTCACAGTTTATAAAATAATATATATAATTTTGAAGTAAAACAATGACATTTAATGAGATCCCAAGTTTATGGTATAAAACAGTAGAGTTCATAATAAAATAGAATCATTTACAAAAACCACAATTCATAACATAATATCTCATGTATGTAGGTAGACTACTGTGAATCTACACACTGAACCTATCTCGTCCACCCACAACAAATCATCTCAAATCAATCCCCGCAGGGCCACAATACTTAAAACATTTTAGGAAGGGCGTGTACCGACGTATCAGCATTGACATGTCCTTTCCTGGGAACAGTATACTAGCCCCTAGCCTCGGACCTATGTTGACAAATAGTGGTTAGCTCTCCCAAGAAACTAAACCCCCTCCGAGTGTTAGGCAACCACTAAACCCCCAAGGTAGGAAACCTCTAACACTCTACGATACACATTCAAGTGTAATCCATGTTCATCACACCCATCAATACAAGAGATAAAAACAACATTTTTTATAAAATTCAACTACAATCAAGAATTATTGATCCACAACTTTTTCAAATGAATAATTCAATAAATTATGCAAGAAATTCCATAGAAAATATATTTAAATTGATAGTAATCAAGAACTATGGTTTTGTAATCAAGAACTTAAAATCTTTTGATGTAAAACATGTATTTAATGTAAACTATGTGTTTATTCAAGAATTAAAAGACATTTAAAAAAGAATGTAAAAACATTGTAGATTTATCACATAAGTGGAGTAGGAATCAAGAACTAGGTTTTTAAATTAAGAAAGAATAAATCTTGAAAGTAAATCATGTATTTTGTTCAAGAAACGAATCATGAATTCAAAAAAACGTAAAAATATTGTAAATCAATTATTTATATCATAATAATGATGAAAAAAATATATTATATAACCTTAATCATCAATGAATGAATCTGAGAAAGAACTCCTACCTTGATTCCTGAGATCTTGATCCTAACGTATTTTGTTGCAATTACCACGTGTTAATCTTTCAAAATTCAGCCTGTTCTTCTTCCTTTTCTTCTCCTCAAACTTTCTAGGGTTCTTAGAGTTGAAAAGATAGGTAAAAACACTCTAGATCGCAGCCCTACAGTATTTATAGGCTAAAACAACTGAGAATTCCCGTTTAGGCACTGGTAGTAGTCTAGCCCTGACTTCCAGCTCGATTTTGATCTAGTTAGACATTGATTCACAAAATTTTCGTGAAATATACTTTTATAACTCTTGAAGTCTAGTTTTTAAGATAAAAATTTCAGGTCAATTGGACATTGGGATAAAAATTTATAGCCAAAATACTAAAGTTATATTAAATTTCTTTCTACCCAAATCCTCTCCAAAATAGGCTTTAACTTTACAATACTTCTAATACAACTCGTAATCTCTTCTAATGTTTTTTGACCTTCCAGATTCAATGAAAACATTATTTTGACCTAAAAATATTCATATAATTACTTAACCACCCTTCTCAAGCTTAAACATTTCCAAAACTCAATATACCTCGAACGTAAATACGCACGAAACTCAAACGTTATAATCAATCTTTCAACAATAATTCTAAGTTTCTACCATTATTTATTCATTTTAGAAGAACTCTTAAAATGATATTATTCTTATTTAATTTTAATACGGGGTATTACATTTTGTCACTTTGAATCAATTGCTTTCATGCACCTCTTATCTCACCAAAAAAAAAAGGGTGCACAAATAATGTTGGGCAACAGTGTCTACAAACTACAACATATAGTAATGTGCGCTTTCTCCACAATATTATTCTAAACCAAGTCATACCATAAAGTAAGGGGAATATAAAGGGACCCCAAAATGGGTGGAAGTATTTGTCACAGTGACTGGTTAATGCAATGAAAAGGAGGTGTCAAGGAATGGGTGGAAGTATGCAACAATTTAGTCCAAGAGATGTGCGCAAAGCTAAGAAATTAGGTACATGAAACGCTGACCTACAATAAATCAGTAACAGTGCCCAAATAGAGGAAAAACTAAACTAGATTATGCAAGAATTATCTACTGAAAGAAAATATGAAGTCTTGAAATTATCAATAGGCAACTAAACATATTAGAAATACAACCATAAAATGTGGAAGGATAACAAGACATAAATTCATGTAGGTGAAGTCTAATGAGTGTGCCTAAGGCCAAGGATCGAAATTTCATCTCAGTGAAAAGTTTTGGAAACGGGTTGGAAACAGAAAAAAAATTTGCAAATTTGTTTCCAAAACATTGATCAAAACATACCAAAACACCTTGAGACAGCAATTTCGATATTCAATCACCGATTCGTTTTGGTTTTCATGAAAACGAAAACATTTCAGGCGTTTCAGACATTTCAAGGCGAAATTTAGTTCCTTGCATAAGACAACATCATCAAACTTTTACTTAGAGATAAGTAAATATTATGTTTATGATTAAGAAAGTAAAAACATAAATAACTTGAATGTTGCATTTACTATACAAGGAAAGGTGACTGAACACATTGCCATGAAAAAAATGTATTCCATTGGATTTCACGATGTCTTAAACATTCTCGTGAGGTTTAAATAGTTTGTTCGAGCAAAAATTTAGAAACAAGGCAAAGGCTTCTATTTGATATTAATAGATTATGTTGGACTAATAATTCACAACAAATTTGGAAGGAAGCTATCCATGGTATTGGAGGAAATTGATAAAGGGGAAAAAGATTTGGGAACTTACCTTTGTAACACATCTACAATAACTGGCAAGAATTTTAAGACTCTACAAGGACAAAAAGCCAGCTTACTTATCAACAATGTCGACATGGATGAGTAACAAGACAAGAAAAATGATGGATAACAATAGAATGCATTTATGAGAGGCTAGAGGAGGAGGAGGGGCATGTCTCTCGTTTGCAAGAATAAACAAGAACCTTTCTTGCACTGGAAATAGGAGGAGCAATTTGAACTAGATAAAAGACCCCACATAAAAATAAGACCAAGTTGGGTGGCAATAATAAGTAGTACGGACAACCTTAAAGGGTTAAAGTCTATACAAGAAAGAAACTGTTTTTTACTTTAGTATAAATTTGGGGCACTCTCCACTAGAAAAACTAATAAAGTCCATAAGATACTCAAGGAAACACAAATTAAAAGATGTAAAAACTTGTGGAATTAGCTTGCCATCAAAACAAAGACCCATATGGAGCCTTGCATAATTATGTTTGAGTCTTATTTTCAATGACTTTTGAGTTACTTTGCTATTAGTATTATTTTATGTATTTTTTTTATGTTTTTTAGAGTAAAAGGTAATTTCATAATTTTTAAATTTGTTAGATGAGTCATAGTATGACCATGGGGTCATCTTTTAAGTCAAATCCTAGTGTTGGATGTTTCTAGAATTCAGAGTTCTAGTTCTAGTTTATGTTAATTTCATACTCTTTAAGTAATTTAGAGTTTTTCAAGTCTTATAATATTTGGAATCTTAATCCTTTTAAGATTTGGAGATACTTGGAGGTCTATATATAAAGAGTTGTAATAATTTAATTTGAGAGAGATATTTCAAAATTTTTCAACAATTATATGATTTCAGGATTGTGTGATGTAATTCAACCCTAGATGTAATGACTAAGGAACCCTAGGAGTGAGTACTAGTTTTCGTCTCTTCTTATCCGTAGTAGGGTATATTCACAAATTTGAAAAGCTATTGTTGCATTGTCGAATCATAAAGGACCCTCGACAAACCCTAAATCCTAAACAATTGCACGATTCAAGGTTAGTTTAAGGGTAGACATACGGGTAGAACTACAATGACAACCACTACATAGCATTGAATATGCATTTCAAGTCATGCTTCAAAGTCACGGTATCGGTCATCAACTCGGAAAGCACTGATACACTTCGGTTGCAGCGTCACGGCGCGGTATCGGCCGACATGTTCAAAATGCAAGATAGAAGCTCTAAAAAAATTCTAAAAATTTAAACATCATCATTCATGCATCATATGTCCACAAATACATCCAAAAACACATTAAACATAATTAAAATGAAACATAAAATTGCTACCGAAAATAATTATCATTATCAATGTTCAACGTAGGTATTTAGGAATATATTGAACCATAATAAAATAGCAACACCAAGGAAAAAAAAAACACAGCAGCCTGAAAAAGAAAAAAACCAGCAACAACCAGAAAAAAAAGTCTGTTGAGAGATATAAGAATTGAACCTTTGACTCTCAGGTTACTGACCTACATCCCTACCACTTGACCTATTGCTTTTATATTAGTTTAAAGACAAATAAATATATTTAAAGACGCAGTAAACAGCCTGAAAAAAAAAACAACAGCCAAAAAAAAAACGAAAAAAAACACAACCTATAAGAATCGAACCTATGACTCCTAGATTAGTAACCTGAATCTCTACCACTTGATCTATTGCTTTTATATTATTTTAAAGGCAAATATAAATATTTAAAGACTCTGTAAAAATAATGTCCTACTTTTTTAGTCAGTTTGTTCTTTTTCCCCACTTCCCCGCACAGTCGTTTGTGTTGTCAGTCACAACGATGGAGAGAGAGAGAGGGAGACAGAGTCACAGAGAGAACCACTCTTATCTTCACACAGCAACAATGAAACTCACTACCAACGGTGATTCTTTGCCTATCGTCACAGCACCGAAAAAGATCGTCACAGCAAAGGAGACAGAAAAACCAAAGAAAAAACAGAAGAAGATGCAGATTGCAAACCCTATTTGGTTCGATCTACAGGTATGTCGTAAATCCTTAGTCATCTTGGTTTTTATAGTTGAAAAACAGGGGTTTAGGTTACCAATTTCATGTGAAAATACGAATTTTCACTGGCTTTTTCGTCTCGGAATGATTCCGATAGGAATCGTCCGAGTTAAACCGATTTCTTCTGATTTCGGCCGATACTTAGGAGTTGCACTGAGATATCGGCGATATGTGATCAATGTGTTATTTTCCCGTACCGCGTACCGTTATCGTATCGACACTTGAACCATGTTTCAAGTGGCACTTGGTACGAAGATGTACTTAAATTTTCTTAATCAGGCAAATATATCAAAGGTTTCTCCTTCCCAGAGGGCTAAAACTCAAAATAATTTGCATTCTCATGTGCATTCAGAGAAACTTCATCAGAGGCGGTCCAAAGTAACAAGTGATCCAATAATTCAAGGTAGAGGCAATCAAGAAGAAGAACCTACACAACCCCTAGCAACTTTGCTACTTACTTGTCCAAAATCTAAAGTAAAAGGTGAATATTCGGACAATACTTATTCTATGGAGTCTAAGATGGAAGAAACTACAACTAGTCATAAATCCAATTTGCCTTTAGAGATGACTAAGTTACTACATAAATGCTCCGAAACAGCACCAAGAATGAGTTGCCTTTTGAAATTCAACAACATTGGCGTCTTAAGGACATGATTTGTTTGCATCTTCCAAGAATTTGTGAGTGCATGAAGAGCCACCAATGCTACCATATTCTAACAGTGACCAAGAGAAGATCAAGATTATAGCAAACGAAAATATCACCATGAGCAAAGAAGGCCTAGCAAAACATAATATAACATTGCATGTTCAATGTCAATTCAATGATATCCTTTCTATCCACTTTGCTCCACCAATTGACTTTGTCATTCTAAAGATGTCCTAAGACAATCACGAATAGTGATTTCCAAATCTCTTATGTATTTCCTCAACCCCAAATAAAAAAGAAGCAAGGTCAAAATTTTTTGGCTTTCGTACTTCAAAACTCGAGGTTGAGTTTTCCCCAACCTACCAACTAGGTAAGAATGATGTAGTCCATCAGATGCTCAAGGAAACACAGCTTAAAAGATGTAAAAGACTATGGAAATAGCTTGTCGTCAAGACAAAGACCCCTCTTGCATAATTTTGTTTGAGTCTTATTTTCAATAACTTTGAATTAGTTTGATGTTAGGATTATTTAATGAGTCTTTATTATGTTTTCTAGAGTACAAGACATTTTTGTAATTTTTAGATTCGTTGGACGGATCGTAGTATGACATGTGGGTCGTCTTTTAGGTCAATCCTAGTGTCGGATGTTTATAGAGTATAGAGTCGTGGATCTACTTTATATTAGTTTCCTAATTAGAGTCTTTCGAATTCTAATCCTTTTAAGATTAGGATATACTTGGAAGTCTATATATAAAGTTGTAATGCTTTTAATTTGACAGGGTGAGATATTTCAAAGTTTTTCAGGAATTATATTCTGAGGTTTGTGTGATGCAATTCAACCCTAGGTGTGATGCCTAAGGAACCCTAGGAGTAATTCCTAATTTTATTCTTCTTTCTTCTATTTTTATGCAAATATCCTTGTTCTAAACACCTTTATCAGACCTGATATATTCATGTTTATACTCTTAAAAGTCATCTACAAACCCTACAACACATTTCCCCTTCAATTTATCTAACCCTAGCACACAAGCTGACACAATTATCCCCTAAAATACTAATCATGGCACTGTTCACGAAACTTGAACATTGCTATTTTTTGCCTATCATTGTTGCCCTACATCAAAAACTTTAGTCACTCTTGAAGAAACAAATAAATGGAAGTTTTGAGGACCGTAGATGCTTACGAAAGTTTAGATTACATTCCTGCAAATTTTAAGAATAAGAGTGCCGCAAATTATAAGATAAGAATCAACCAATTCCACATTGACTTGGGACAGAAATTTTACTAGTCTAGTATTTGGATCTTTATAGACCTCCAGTCAAAGGCAAGGAAAGACCATTTAAAGAAACAAAACATGCCCATTATGGAATTCGAGGTTCTAAAGAGGTCCCAATTCTATCACCTTCCATACAAGTCTCGAAATCAGCTGAAAGAATGTAAACTTGGGAGTTGGGACAGATATAGGATCTAGAGGAAAAAACCTTTTCAAGGATGCACATGGCTTCTTTTGTGGCACTTTTCTCCCTCCCTGCAACAACCAAAAAGTTTTCAAACTCTGTTTGATACTTGAACAAGCAAATACCAGTTCCACAAAAAAGAAAAGGGGAAAAAAAGAAAAACTTGAACAAGTAAATACATGATAAAACATAAGAAAAATTATAGAAACCAATTCCCTCCTACAATAACTAGACTTATCGCAGTGTGTGCTGCTTGTTCCATCAGTTAGATGAAAATACTAACTTTTGTTTGATCCAAAACCCTGACTGGGTTACGTCTAGGTTTTTGATGAAAAGATGAAGTCTGATTAACCAAAATGCAATGATGTAACACATATTTAACCCAAACCATCAAGGACCTTCCTTTTCGTTAGCCTATGTATCCTTTTTTGGTTATGAATTGAAGAAGACTTGTGCAAGCCTTTTTGTGCATGGCGGAATGCAAGAATCATTGAAGACTCTGGCCTCCACAGGCATTCCAAGGTGAGCTGCATCATCAATGGCAACCAATGGCTTTGGCCCCATACTACCACCCCTGAGTTGCTTGAAATCTTTCGGTCTATGCCAAGATATAATCCTATGCAGAAGAGGGAAGACACTGCCAAATGGCTACCCTCAGCAAATGGCATCTAACTCTGCTTGGGAAGTGTTGAGAGAACTGCTCCAGTTGTGACCTGGTACCACTTGGTTTGGCTTAGACACTCAATCACTAGAAAGAATGAGTTTCATTCTTTGACTGGCCATTATAACGAGACTTAGTACTGGGGTAGGCTGCAAAGATTTTCACCCTCATGGAAGTTGTATGCATCTTATGCCGGCAAGCCCCAGAATCCCATAACCATAGTTATCAAAATCATACAATTCACGATTCGATTCGTACGATTCGATTCGATATAGGTACAAAACAATTCGTATCTTATATGAGAATCGTTTTAGAGTTGAATCATATGATTTATACGATTCGATTTGTATCTCACGAATTACACAATTCAATCATTTTTTTTAAAACCCAAATTTTTGGCTAAACGATGTCGTTTTGTCCACTAAATAGTAAAATGACGTCATTTTGTCTACCAAGGAACTCACGTCCTAAAAAAACTCAACCTCTTTGCTCGCCTTGCATTGTGTAAAGTTAAAGGTCACAGCTAACGTTGTCGCATCATCGATTGATTTTTGCTGTCAATTCTTTTATGTGTAGTTTGTTAGGTTCTAATTTTTTATTTCAAAATGTTGGCCAGTATGTTTTCTCCCGATCAATTTTTTTATTTGTTCTTTTTCTATTTATGTTTTTAACCTAATCTATACTAGGTGTCACTATTTTGATTCTTGAATAACCATGGTTCTTTAATGAATTTTTTTTTAAGTTGTTGAATTTTAAAATGGTTAAACAAAAGATGAAAATGAAACAAAAGGCTAGCGTATTTTCATTTAGACGATGTGAATATGTCAATTGATTATTTTTAAAATGCAATAATGTTCAATATTCAATATTTTGTCTATTTTAAATATGTAGCATTATTTTTTATTGTTGTTCAAATTTTGTGTTGAATCTTACGATTCACGATTCTCAAATTTAGTATTCTGATTCACGATACGAATCGCAATTTAACAACTATGCCCATAACCATTTCTTCTTCAATTGCCAGTTTGTTTCCTACATATGGAATCACCTTAGACAGTTGTGTAACCATCAGTGGCCTCCTATGACCTGGAACAAATTTATAGATGCTGCAGCAGTCAATTGAAGGAGGAAATCCTTGCTCAAGGTCCTGCAGAAACTCATCCTATCAGTTTCTGTATGCCATATCTGGAAGAAAAGAAATGCAAGGCTTCATGGCAATGGCTTCAAGGACTCTTAATACTATCCTTACCAGCATAGTGCAGACCATCAAGGAAAAAATAGCTTCTCTAAAGTTCAAAACCTCTCCCCAGAACATAAATCTGGCTCATTCATGGCAGCTACCAAATTTTTGTTTGGAGTACAATTTAGCTCCATAGTGTCGCTCCAAATTCCTTGTCTATCAAGTTCAGTTAACGACTATGAACCGAATTTGTCTGTGGCGCCTGAACCACATGCACCTTTGATTCAAGCCTCCTTTTGCCTTTGTTACTGTCCTCAACCAGAAACCGTAAGTAAATCCCACAGAATATACGACTTCACGTACATATTAATGAACTTTCACTTCTAGGAATAAGTTTTGTTATTTGTTTCTAAGGGTTTAAGTGGGATTCCCCAATAAACCATTCGATGGTTGAGTGTAGTTATCCAATAAATCCTTGGGGTGGTCTCTTTCTAATTCATCTCCTTTGTACCTATGCATTAAGAAACTTCCTCCAGTTTCTGTCTTTGCAAGTCCATTTTACATTATTCATACATCACTTCACTTTCCTTGAGTTTTTAGGCTGCCATGTATAGACTTATGGTATTGTATATATTTTGATTTAGGGATATATTCTTGTGACCTAGGCCCTAGCCTCTCGGCTTGTAAATTTTTCAGTGAGAGGGTTGATCTCCTTGAATCATGCTCATATGCCTTTTACAAACCAACCTTTGATCACTTTAATAAGTAAATAATTCAAGCAAATGTCTCCTCTAAACTGCTTATGTGTATTTTCCTCAAACTGCTTATGTGTTATTTTACCTAGGAGTTAAAGTTCAAGTGAATGCTCCTAACCATTACTTGTACTTTCTGGGTTGATGGATATGTTGTGCAGTTAATATGTGTTGTATGCTTCGCTTATTGACATTGTTTTCGGCTTATACCATAAGCTTTGTTTTTCACATGCCATGTAAGAAGTCAACACAAGTAAAATATGTTACATCACTTGAATGCATAGCCCTGGTTTTGAGTGTTTTAAACAAAGAGATAAACCAGTTAGTGTTGAGGAGAGTAGAAAAAGATTAGTTTGCACAAAGAGAGATTAGGCTAATAGATAGATCTAGGTTTGAGAGAGATTTTTTTTTTTTGGTAAATGGTTTGATAATCAGATAGATTGGTTTAAGAGGAAGACATGGGTTCGAGAGGGAAAGAGAGATGTAATCACAGAGTGGAGAGAGAAAGTGGGGTATGTTGACTTTATGGAGGGTAGATTGAATATTTTACAAGAATATCATATGACATCACCACTAATTAATAGTTAACCTAACTATTGACCAATGGAAAGGAGGCTTCTATTATTCAAACTTCAAAATAACGGAGGTCATTGTAATTACTGAAACAAGACGGGAGGGTCTGTCTATTTTTGTCAAACTTCAAAGAAGGTCAGTGTAATTTCCCCAAAATAAATTTAATTACCAAATCATATCCTATACTTGACTACGCAGCCCGATCTTTTATCAGTACAAAAAGTAAATACTTCTAAACGTCACTACAGTGGTTGAAATGCCTCAAATTAAAATAAAGAGAATTCAGGTTTGTTAATGATATTGAAAAAATTAAGGAACGCATTGCACTTTGATCACTACTGTCGATACCTTCACCCTATGAATGTAGCCATTATGTAACCCAATACTGCAAAATAAACCAATATTGGAGAGAGCAAAGATAGAAAGAACAAAAGATAGACACAGAGAGTAGGAGATACTATAGACACTGGGATCACAGTACCTCTGGCGTCCCCTGATGTAAGTTGCACAACCCAAACAAACAGGATGGAGACCTGGATCTCTCAAGTGTTGACCCCAAATTGTAACCCTAATTATTCTCTAGTATATTATATTATTATTTTTCGTGATGTATAAGTTAAACTTTCGGGAGCTGGGATTTGAATTTTTCTCTTAATACAAATGTGCAACCATTATCACAATCAATATACAACAAATTACACCAATATACAACAAATATTTACTGACTATGGGTGTATTGAATATGGAAGTGTAATTATATGACACTCATATAATAGTGACATCTATCACAATAAAAAAAAATATGAGTTAATTACGGGTGAATAGGCATACGAAAAAAGGGCAGCCTAGTGAACAAAGCTCCCGCTGGATCTAGAGAGGGACCTATGTACCCAGTCTTATCCATGCATGAAGGGAGGTTGTTTTTGTAACTCGAAATTGTAACGCCCTGGTCAGACTAGAGCAACTTACTATTACGCCAATGCCTACTCTCTAATGAGTGTATAGACATATAACAATATAAAATATTACGAGTGATCCGGATAATAGTACCATAGCAAACTATAGCTAGAAATAACGCACCATTTTTAGCTTATTCCCATCGCATCGTGTATCAAAAAAAAGTGTTGTGTCACCTATCTTTGTTCGTATCACCTCCCAAATTGACCCACAATCCAATTAACATTGGGAGATGCACACAAAAGCACACACATATATACAGACCTTTGTGTATACATGTATGTATATCTTGGAAAATCTTAGAGAGAAACATGGGGAGGTAGAAGCAGAATATATGGGTGGAGAAAAAAAGAGAGACAAGGGGACTTTAAGTTTGAGATCCAATCTATTCCTCATCATCCCTAAAACGTGCACTCTCTCTCTTTACACACAAATATATATGTAACATATACACACGATAGAACTCATTGCCGAGTCTTACAAGTGCGATCTCGAGATAGATGCAATCCCTAGAGTAATATTTATGTTACAACACATGTTTTAGTAGATTTTTATATCATTTTTGAAGTCGCATGATTATCAAGGATTGTTCTTTTGACAATAGTCACAACACAATGTTTGGTGATCTTAGTGTCACTATCAAAATGTCAAGGAGTCTTCATCTAATTAGTTGAGGGTTGTTTTCACGCTTCAAAATATTCTCTAATACCAATACAACTCAGAGAAGTCATATTTGACTAGGCATTTTCTGTCCCGAAACTGATACCCATACAATGTAAACCACGAATCTGACTCGTGGTTGATTCGAAGAAGTCTAACATCCCTTAACACCGCAATATAACTTGAATAGCTCATTTGTCCAACTTTTTATTCTCTATAGCATTTCATTTGTATCAACCACTATTGTTCAGAGACACCGAAGTCAAATGTGTCTCCATGCCCTCAAAG